CTCTTTCTTTCTTTCTTTCTTTCTTTCTTTCTTTCTTTCTTTCTTTCTTTCTTTCTTTCTTTCTTTCTTTCTTTTTTTTCCTTCCTTCCTTCCTTCCTTCCTTCCTTCCTTCCTTCCTTCCTTCCTTCTTTCTTTCTTTCTTTCTTTCTTTCTTCCCTCCCTCCCTCCCTCCCTCCCTCCCTCCCCTTTCCTCCGCTGCCATGATGCCTTTCCAAGTGGAAGTCCAGAACTGGCTCTGAATGCTTATAAGTTATTCTGAGAGCCTTTTTTCTTGGCTGGAGCACGGGGTTAAAAGGACGCGCCAATGAGAAATGGAGCCAGGCTGCCAGAGTCGCACAGGAGGCACTGCCAGCTCACGATTTACAGGGCAAATGGGAACAAAGGCTTGCAGGGGAACAAACGGTGCTCAGTACTTCCGATGTGGCTTCCTGCCGTCTGGGACGGGGTCGGTGCCAACCGTGGTGCCAATTGTACTACCTGTGCGAGGGAAAACTGGAGCAGTCGTGGCTGTTAGCGCTACCGACATCGGGGAGAGGAATCCAGTGTGTCGATGTACGTGAAGGTGCAAGTAGCCCTTGACGTATAACTGTTCGTTTAGTGACCATTTCAAGTTACAGCGGCACTGAAAAAAGTGACCTGATGACCGTTTTTCACACTTACGACCGTTGCAGGATCCCCCGTGGTCACGTGATCAGAATCTGGAGGCTTGGCAACTGATTCCTATTTATGACAGTTTCAATGCCTCAGGGTCCTTGCCCCTTCCTTGCCTCAGTCATTAAGTGAATCACTGCAGCGGTTAAGTTAATAACACGGTTGCTAAGCGAATTCGGCTTCCCCCCCTTGGCTTTGCTTGTCAAGAGGAGGCAAAAGGGGATCACGTGACCCTGGGAATGCTGCAACCGTCATAAGTATGAGTCAGTTGCCAAGCGTCTAAATTTTGACCCTGGGCCGGCTGCAACAGTCGTAAGCGGGGAAAACTGTTAAAAGTCACTTTTTGCAGTGCCGTCGTAACTTTGAACAGTCACTGAAGGAACCGTTATAAGTCGAGGACTTCCTGTGTCTTCGTGTACGTCTACGTGGTGGATTCCTCTCCCCGACGCACAACCAGCAGCTTTCTGCATTTGTGGGGGGAAAAAACAAAAACAGCCAACCAAAATTCAGAACAAAAGTATTTATAAAAGTATTAAAGTGACACGTTTCATTTAACATAGCCTCAAAAACAAAGCTGTGGAACAGCTCCCGTTTCCACGTAGGCGCCAGGTGCGGTGAGGCCAGTCCCTCGAAGCGGGCTACACACCTTGCGAGAGGCTTTTGCGGGAAGACGGGGGGACAACTAAGGAAGGTGGAAGGGCTGTTGCCATCCTGGTTGAACTCAAGACCTGCGAAGGAGAAACGAGGAGGGTGACGTCTTAAATCGGATGCAAAACCAGGAGCGGCAGAATTATTTTCAGATCATGCCGGGCGTCTCCCAACACCACCTCCAGTTCTCCAACTGGGTGGGAAAGGCAACTCCAGAATTTCCAGCCAGGAGGGTCCGGAATGGGGAAGGTTGAGATACCCACAAACAGCTCACAGATTCTACAAAGCTGGTTTTCGTGCGGCTTAGGGGTAATCTTGTCCCCAGAAAAGGAGAGGCAGAAATTAGGAGATGGTGAGTTCTAGTCCCGCCTTAGGCCTGAAAGCCGACTGGGGTGAATTTGGGCTGATTGCCAGGAGAAAGGGAATTCTAGTCCTGCCTTAGGTCTGAAAGCCGACAGGGTTTCAGAAAGTATGTTTCTTGGTATTGTCTAGTAATTGTTGGAAGAAAACTGGAATATGATGCCTTGGTGCTCTCTGAGGTTGGTTGTTTTCTTGCAGACGTTTCATGACCCAACTAGGTAACATCATCAGTGTTAGAAGGGAGGGGGATTTGCAGAGAGGAGGAGGAGGAGGAGGGGAAAGGGAGAGGAGGAGGATGTGGGGTCCTTGGTGCTCTCTGAGCTTGGTTATTTTCCTGCAGACGTTTCATGACCCAACTAGGTAACATCATCAGTATTAGAAGGGAGGGGGATTTGTGAGGAGGAGGAGGAGGAGGAGGAGGAGGACGACTGTGGAGTCCTTGGTGCTCTCTGAGCTTGGTTGTTTTTCTGCAGACATTTTATGACCCAACTAGGTAACATCATCAGTGTTAGAAAGGGGTGAGGTTTGCTCTCTGTTTATATACAAGTCTGGAAGAACTGGAACGAATTTGCCACTGATCCCCGTTTTTTTTGCGATTGAGTGTTAGAAAGGCAACGGATGATCAAGTCTCGTGTCTAGACAGGGCCACAAGCAGCTGAATTTCCTAAGGAAAGCGGCCTCTCTGAAACGTGCGTTTCTTCTTTGTTTTCTTTTTTTTTAAGATTTGTACTTTTCTGCCCTTGAAACCACCTCTCTCTCAAGGGAGTTTTGCTTGCTTTTCCCTTTAAAACCCAACTGCAGCAAAATACAAAAAAGCTCTTTTTTTACGGAGCTGGTTTTTTTTTAAAGCAGTGATATGCTTATAAAATTGTAGGAGGAATCACACCCTTCCTCTCTCTTTCGTCCCTCCGTTCCTTGGTCAAGATCAACAAGCATTTTTTTTTTGTTTGGGGGAGGGCTGCTGTTTATGCTGGCTGACCATGGCACGGGATTAGAAACATGAAAAGAAATACTTTGGGGCTGTCCTAGGAGACTACACAGATCGCAAAAGGCAGAGCTGTGTTTTAAAGGAAGAGAGAAGCTGCAGCTTGCAATGGTTTTGATTGCCCTGAGTGCTTTATTTGCTAAAGAATTTGCATATTAGTGACGCTCTGGGTGCTCGTCCAAATATCACATAAAAACATTAAGACGGTCCAGCTGGATCAGGTCAATGCTGCTCCCAATTTAACAACTGGAATCTTCAGGTAGATTATTCCTGTTCCATTTTGAGCTATCTGGATTAAGAACGAATAGATTGAAGGTTGAGGCCTTTGAAGACTCCTGCGAGTCCCCTGGACTGCAAGGCGATCAAACCGATCCGTCCTAGAGGAGATCAACCCTGACTGCTCTTTAGAAGGCCAGATCCTGAAGCTGAAACTCAAGTACTTTGGCCACCTAATTAGAAGGAAGGACTCACTGGAGAAGGGCCTGATGCTGGGAAAGATGGAGGGCGATAGAAGAAGGGGACGACAGAGAATGAGGTGGCTGGATGGAGTCACTGAAGCAGGAGGCGTGAGCTTCAATGGACTCCAGAAGATGGCAGAGGACAGGAAGGCCTGGAGGAACGTTGTCCATGGGGTCGCGATGGGTCGGACACGACTTCGCAACTAACAACAACAAGATTGAAGGTTGGAGTTGAAGGATAAATGGACAAGCATGACATGGTCCAAAGATGATAGCATTCCTACAAACATGGTTTATGACCTAGCTGGATACAATAGGTCTTCTGAGAAGGCTTTCTGTTGCTTTCTTCAAGTGGATCCCTTCCAGATGTTTAGACCTACAATACCTGCCAGGTCTGGCCTATAGGGACAGTGAGGGCTATTAGGGGACATTGTCATCCAGATTGAATGGAGGTGATCCAGGTTGGGGAAGGGTATTTAGAAAGCCCTATGGATTAGATGTCTATGGAGATTCTCAGTCATCCAGGTCATGGTTGTCCCAAAGGTGCTTTTTTCAGGAGGCAACTGGACTTTTTTGTTTTTCTTTGAAGACATTTCACTTCTCATCCAAGAAGCTTCTTCAGCCCTGATTAGATGGTGGGGAAATGCAAGGATTTATAAGACCAGCTGTCTGCAAGGAATATAAATCCCTCCATTCCCTACCATCCGGTCAGAGGTGAAGAAGCTTCTTGGATGAGAAGCAAAACGTCTTCAAAGAAAAAAAAAGAAAGTCCAGGGGCCTCCTGAAAAAGCACCTTTGGGATTACTATGGGTTAGATCGATGATAAAGGGGTGGGAGGGAAAAGGTCAGGAAAGGGATCCACCTCACTCATGAAGGTCATCTGCCTTTCTTCTGGGAGAAGATGACTTCAGGCCAACAGAGCCATTTTGACAGGTGGTTCATTCTCGGATCAAACTAGTCCCATCTCTACTGACATTGAATCAGATTTAAGATGATGAGGCCACGTTCTGATCTCAGGACAGTGGAGAACACATTGGATTCAAAGAGCGTCATGGTGGCCCTTTCAAAACTAGACCATCCGGCAAAATATTTGGCTCCAGCCTTTCTGCGCTCCCAAAGAGAAAGTTGTTCCAGAGACTTACTGGGAGATTTTGCAGTTTGTGGTGGCCACAAAGCGCCCGGTGTAGTGAACGTTGCACCTTACCACGTTGTTGGTGAAGTCCGATTCCATCACGATGTATTTGGGATTTACCTGAACCTGAAAGGTGGAGGGAAGGTGAAAAAGCAAATCAAGTTCTTTGATACAGAAGTGGGAAGAAGGTAGAAGTTCCTCGACCAGCCCACCCATCCCCCAACCCATCAACCCACCAACAAACCAACCAGCGTACCTTTAGGATATAATTCCCAGGTTGAACGTCTGTGATATCAATCCACTGGCAATCTATGTCAGCATTGTAAGTGTCGTAACAACCTGGACTCAGACCCTGAAAGAAAACAAAAACATGGCTTGAACCTTTAAGTGGACAATTTAAAATTTCAGTGGACAAATCTTGATGACATTTGAAAGATTATAGTTGTTGGACTGGGAAAAGATGCCTGATGGGAAAATAGGTATGACACAGAGAGAATTGGATCATCATCATCATCATCATCATCATCATCTTCTTCTTCTTCTTCTTCTTCTTCTTCTTCTTCTTCTTCTTCTTCTTCTTCTTCTTCTTCTTCTTCTTCTTCTTCTTCTTCTTCTTCTTCTTCTTCTTCTTCTTCTTCTTCTTCTTCTTCTTCTTCTTCTTCTTCTTCTTCTCCTTCTCCTTCTCCTCCTTCTCCTCCTCCTCCTCCTCCTCCTTACTCCCCACCTTCTCCTTTCTTCTTCCTTCTCCTCTTTCTTCCTTATCCTTTTCCTTCTCCATTCTTCCCCTCTTTCTTCTTCCTTCTCCTTTTCCATCAAGGATAAAGACTAGGATTTCAACTGCTAATCAGCTTAACTGGATCTTCAGACTCCAGACACAAACACACACACACACATTTTTGCTAAAAACGGAGAGGTTTGCAGCCTCTGAAATCCCCCAAGACTGGGCTGCTCAGATTTTGCAGCAAACTGCCCTTTTTATGTAGCACAATTTTAAACACCCATTCCTAAAGAGATGTGCCTAACCCTAGATAGCCTTAATGCACCTGTTCTAAGTAACCCCACTGACTCTTCAAAACCCCAACAATTAGGTCCAAAATGTCAATCTTGACTCTCTGGTAATATAATAATATTGACAGCATACTTCCACAGGTCTTGGAGGACAGAAACAATGGCCAAAAAAAAAAGACATCTCCCCATGTTTCAATCATTACATTATTATCTCTCTTGCATTAGCTTCACTGAGATTTCTGAGAAGAGATTTACTGAGAAGTAAACCTACCTGGGTATGTGATGTGCAGGCATAGCGCTTGAGGTTCCCGAAGTCACACGTGGTGTCTTCCAGACAGAAGCTAGCTTTGTGGCCTTCAGCCACCTTCTTCCCGGTGGTAGCATCCAGCAAGTCATAATGGCTGAACTCATCCATACTGTGGTAATGCCTGGAGAATGGAGAACAATTGCTTACAAGAAACCAAGTTCAGCTACAAGAAGGTTTCCATATGAGAAGATATCCATAACAAGTTCTGAATATGAATATATGGATGACTTTCAGAAGATGGTCCCACCTTCCTTCTCATTCCTGACGCCCTGATTTCCATCTTTGACCTGCGCTGCAAGGCTATGTTTTGGGACAAAAATCTAGAAGTTCTCCTTAGGAGAGGTGTCTTGTATCTTCTACTATGAAGCCACAGCACTGGTCACTCTCTAGTCTGAGAGGACAAATGAACAAGAAAGGAAAGTGTACCAATTATAGCAAGTATCAAGATGTGATGGGATGTAGTGAGGAGGTGGATACCCAGGAAGGAGGGGATGAATTCCAGAAGAGGAACAGACAACTCAGCCCAGTTATTTTGTGTCTGAGAAAGAGAGTGAAGACAGCTCCTCCCTAATAGTTCCCAGAGTATATTGTAGATGTAGGCAGTAGAGTCTCAATCTGGCAAGATTCTGTCTAAAGGTGTAAAACAATAAAGAACTCAGCTGAGAAAAATTGCCACGTGTCCTTCTTGGTTTTGGGCCTGACAGATGGTAACAGGTATTCTGGGAGTTGAAGTCCACATGTGATGTGATGGAATGCAGTGAGGAGGTGGGTTCCCAGGAGGGAAAGGGTGCATTCCAGAGGAGGAAGAGGCAACTCAGCCCAGATATTTTGTGTGAGAGAAAGAGGGTGAAGGCAGACCCTCCTTAATAGTTCCCAGAGTATATTGTAGATGCAAAGTCCTCAGTCTGGCAAGATTCTGTCTATAGGTGTGGAACAATAAACAACTTAGTTTAGAAGACTCACCATGTGTCTTTCTTGGTTTGGCCTGACCCCAAATCATAAGTCTTCTGGATGTGTAGAAAACTTTGAACCCTCAACCTCACAGACACACCGGGGAAGAGTTCACTCATTAGGCTAAACATCCCCAAACAAGCAACTTGCAGCTAACCAGTTTTAGGGCTGGGGGGAGGGGAATGCAGTTGCTAGGTGGTGAACAAACTTGGTTAAACCTTTTGGATGAATTCAACAAGAATGCCACACATTTTCACACCCTGGTTTTCTGATGTTGAGGGACACTTACTGATGGCAGCTGTGCCATTCCCAAGTATGACGGGCTCGATTGGGCAGGAAGTCTGCGGTCCCCTGGTTCTTCACTCGCTGCGGGAAACGCAGTAGCACCCGGACATCGTAATCGGTCGCTTCTGCAGTGTAAGCCGTGCTGGATGAGGATGAAACCAAGATATGAGAGCAGGAATATAACTTTGGTGGTCAGCTGAATCAGCCTGGGAGGTCTAGCACAGGCAGTCCTTAACTTATAACCATTCATTTAGTGACCCTTCGAAGTTCTAATGGCACTGAAACTTATGACCATTTTTCACACGTACAACCATTGCAGCATCCCCGTGGTCACATGATCAAAATTCAGACGTTTGGCAACTGACTCATATTTATGACGTTGCAGTGTCCTGGGGGTCATGAGATCCCCTTTTGCAACCTTCTGACAAGCCAAGTCAAGGGGGGAAGCCACATCCACTGAACAACCGTGTTACTAACTTAACAACTGCAGCGATTCATTTAACAACAAGAAAAGTGGTAAAATGGGGCAAAACTCCCTTAACGAACGTCTCGCTTTGCAACGGAAATTTTGGGCTCAGTTGCGGTCATAAGTTGAGGACTGCCTGTGGTTACAGTATTGGGCATAGATCAAGAAGACTCAAGTCTCCATTCCATTCTGGAGTTCCTTGGGTATCTCTAGGCCAGCTGCTGTGTCTCTGCTCTTCCTACTTTAAAGGGTTCATGTTTTGGGGGCTCAAATGGAGAACGGAGGCCCCTGGGTCAGCGGCTTTGAACCCCCTAGCCCAGGGGTCCTCAACCTTGGCAACTGTAAGACTTGTGGACTTCAACTCCCAGAATTCCTGGCAAAGCACAGTTAAAAATGCAATTCACACCTGAACAAAGGGGAAGGTTGGCTGTAGGGTTGGCCAACTTTCCATCTGGACCCTGTAGCTATTGATGAGCTGTCATCTAGTTTAATCCCATGATTTGTTTTTAAAAAAAGCAACCACTGGTTTACAGCTGCTAATTAAGGCAGTAGATTCTTCTTATACTGGTGTGCGTGCGTGTGTGTGTGTGTATGAAGCTCTGGCTTGCTAATTGTAAATTGCAAGACGAACGTTGGGTTAATCCATGGATGCCACAAACCGGGAGTCTTTGGCACCCATTTTCAGCCTAAGACGTTTTATTAAAAGGCAGAAGCTTTTATGAACTATGGCTTGTTTCATCAGAGGCAGTCGTCCAGGTTTAAGCTAGAGGTGTCCAACCTTGGCCACTTGAAGACCTGGGGGACTTCAACTCCCAGAATCCCTCAGCCAGCATGGGAAGACCAACAGGTTTTCAAGTTGCCAAGTTTGCACTCTCCTGCTTTAAACTATGTGCAAACCACACCCCCATCTTCCTGAAAATGCAGCTTTTCTGATTAGTGCAAGTATCTTTTTGAGTTCTTTTTTTCAGCCTCCCCTCCTTAAACTCCATTTAAGGGCCTTCCCGAACGGGGTGCATCCTAGAGGATTTTCCAATCCTTCAATTAAATCCCTGCTTAACGGCGTTGAACAGGCTGGACATTTCCCCCCCTTTTTAAATAAATTATCATTCTGGCTGGTTGGTAATCTATTTGTAGAGGCCAGTCTGATGTGGTTTGGATAAATTCCCAGGTTTTTTTTTTTATTTAAAGCAAGGAAATACATTCAACATGTACATTAAGGGTTGCCAACCACGCTCGGCCCTCAATGTGCTTCCTATCCACTCCTTTACTTTGGCTTCTTTTCAGGAAGTTGGCTACCCCCCTTCTTCTACCAAATTCAGGATTTTCTTTGTATTTCTGACAATAACCTCTATTGTTCTTTGCTTCTGTTGGCACCCGTCACCTGACTTTAAAATTAGGAGTAACCCTTGCCACCTCTGACTTTCACTGTTTTTCCCCCCTTTCATAAACTAGCCTGCAATCCTGTCCACACACTCGGGGAGATTTCTTTTACAGATAGTCCTCAACTTAATGACCACAGTGGGGCCCAAACGTTCTGTGGCTCAGTGAGAAATTTGTTAAATGAGTTTTGCACCGTTTTATGACTTGTCTTGCCACAGTCGATCAGAGGATCGCTGCCGTTAGTAACATGATTGTAAACTGAATCTGGCTTTCCCCTGTTGATTTTGCCCATCAGAAATTTGCATTAGGGGAATCATGTGACACTGCAACCCGTCATAAATGTGAGTCAGTCGCCAAAATGTCTGAATTGTGATCATGTGACCACGGGGATGCTGCAATGGTCCTCCGTGTGACAAATGGTCGTAAGTGGGAAAAACGGTCGTAAGTCACTTTCTCCAGGGTAGGTAAAGTAGCTCAGTGGAACTGTAGCTAGAATGATGGATAGATGGAGTGATAGATGACAGATGACAGATAAATAAATAGATCAATAGAATTATAGCTAGAATGATAAAGATCTGGAATGATTGATTGATTGATAGATAGATAGATAGATAGATAGATAGATAGATAGATAGATAGATAGATAAAAGGTAGGTAAAAGATAGGTAGAATGGTAGATGATGGATGAATAGATAGAATGATAGATAAAGATCTGGAATGATAGACAACAGCTAAAAATAGGTAGAATGGTTGATGATAGATGAATAGATAGAATGATAGATAAAGATCTGGAATGATAGACAATAGCTAAAAATAGGTAGAATGGTTGATGATAGATGAATAGATAGAATGATAAATAAAGATCTGGAATGATAGATAGACAATAGCTAAAAATAGGTAGAATGGTTGATGATAGATGAATAGATAGAATGATGGATAAAGATCTGGAATGATAGATAGACAATAGCTAAAATAGGTAGAATGGTTGATGATAGATGAATAGATAGAATGATAGATAAAGATCTGGAATGATAGATAGACAATAGCTAAAATAGGTAGAATGGTTGATGATAGATGAATAGATAGAAAGAAAGATCTGGAATGATAGATAGACAATAGCTAAAATAGGTAGAATGGTTGATGATAGATGAATAGATAGAAAGAAAGATCTGGAATGATAGATAGACAATAGCTAAAATAGGTAGAATGGTTGATG